AAACTGCGACTCGCGAAATTCGAATCTGATCGTCGTTGAAGATGTCAAAGAAGGTGCAAGCGAGGCGCGCGTTGAGCCATCACGTGGAGATAATTGCACCTTCATCGCCGCGATGACAAGGCCTCGTGGAGGACAGGATCCTTCAGTCCTACCGATTGCAGATAAACGATCTGGAGCTTTCCGGCAGGGACCCCGAGGGCCTTGACAAGGCTTTTTGGACGTCACAAGCTTAAGCTGTGATTCCAGGGGACGCCCACAGATCTACACAAGACCTGATACCACGAAGTTTGAGGTTGTTGCCAACTCGTGGCCTCATCGCGTTTCTTGTTTTTCTTGCTTTTAACGATCAGCTTCACGCTTGACGACTACTTATCTCTACTCCTTTCCTGCCACCACTATGTTTAAGTGGGCGAAACATCGCGCAAGCGGTGAACCTTTGACGGCAAATATGTCCAGCATCGCTCTTCCAGATCCTGTTGAGGAGACTCCCGTGAAGGTCTCGACGTACTGGAAAGCAGAGGTCGTTCATGCGAACAATGCCGCGAACTCTGGTTCGAACAAGGACCACCGATCGAAGGACCGGACATCCAATGCCCCGACGACGCATTCCTCTCAGACGATAACAGCATCGATAACCCCGCGACCTGGTATTGTGCAGATTTTCTCGAGCCTGATGCCGTTGCTCACTTTTGGTCCACAGATTTGGCGCGCGAAAGGACGTCATCGAACCCGGCTAAGCCTCTTAAAGGTGAGCTGAGCAAGCTGAATAGCGAAGTTCTTCGTACCTTTCTCATAACGCGTTGTTGCAGGCATCCTCAAGGCCCCCAAGCCATTCACTGAACGAAACGTTAATATTGAACCCGAAATAAACAGTGAGCGCGGGCGTGTGTTGATCGGAGCCACGTCCACTAACCCGTCTTCATTAGTTCCCCCGAACCCCACGGGCCAGTGGCCTTCCAACCAAGACATCGCCCTGCGAGGTGCGTCACATTAAATTCGGCGATACGGTGAACGTAAAACGTCTTCATTAGTTCCCCCGAACCCCACGGGCCAATGGCCCTCCGACGAAGATGTTGCATGGCGAAGTGGGACATGTTAAGTTCGGCGATGCGGTGAATGATGATGATACCTGATCTATCTATACAGACCTCAACACTATGCCCGCCATGACGGAAAAACATAGCTCTCACCGACGAACAAATGAGAGAGCGGAGAACAGTACGACTGGAGGCTTCACAACCATGCTCCGCTCGCTGACCTGCGATCTCTGGCCAGCATCGCAATTTGCTAGGCAGAAGCACAAAATTGTAGCGCCGCCACATATCCGACAACGCGAGTCCCCTTCCGCTTGACTCGCTGCAAAAGATACTGACGATGGGGTCCATCACAGCCCCAAATGTCCACGGGAGGCCGACGATTCATCCAGGCTATGGCTACGCGCATTATGGCTATTATACACACACGGCGCAACAACCACGACCCGGACATCCCCCGCACTACCATAACCAGGGCCGGCCCGTCATCCCACCCCAGCACGCTGTACATGGTCAGCGATCCCGGATTCTCCCAATCGGCGTGGTTGACGATCGTCATATTTCTAGCGTCGGCACATCAGTATAGATATGGTAACGGATACGGGAACACAGGGGGGCTGTCGGTTAACGAAGGTAAATTGGCGTACATCGTTTGATCAACATTTCCACTGACTGGGGTCGCGTCAAGGAGTGTCGCGGGCGCGTGCCACTCCCTATCCAAGGGCCGCAGGAGGGTACGCATCTGATAACGCAGGTGGGTTTGATCAAGAGGGAAGTATCAATCCTTGTAATTTATTTACGTGTAATCTGCCGTTATCGCACCGTCAGGCCTATCGCGTTCGTATTCCGGTCATTATGGCGTCGCGCCACAACAGACAGTTCAACAAGGTCAGCTTTGTTCTACATGCCAACGAAAGGTGCTATATCGATTCAGCCTCGTATTATGCAGGCCAACACCCTCAACCTCACGCCGCTGGATACGACTATGCGGCACGTCATCAATGTAAGCTTCCACATTATCGCGATAGTACCAAGGACTCACTGTTGACGATACCTCAGCTGCGGGACCTTCCCGCAATCCAATTCCTCCGGCCACGACGGAGCAAGACCCAGGTAGTCAACGTTCAAAGATTGTTACACACCTGCCCGATTCTCACCTGTATGTAGGTGCAGCCGAGTATTCTCAGACTACACAACACCAGACGCAAGAGTCACCCCCTGAAGAGGAAGCTGAGGAAGAAGCAGAGGAAGAAGCGCCCCAGACAGATGGGCTCAGATATAAACGTATGGCAGAGGCTCCAGTTCAAAGAACGAGTTTACTGACCAATCACCATGGATTATGTAGCATGGCCCGGATTGGAGGCCCAGCCCCACGTCCAAGACGAGCGCGGACTTTGGCGCTGGCCCATCGTCGCGGAGCGTTCCGAGAAAGGCGGGCTGCGGTGCATTGATGTTCTGTACGCGATCTACGAGGCCATGCGTACCCCCCTGGAGCCTGGCGAGATGGCATTTCTCGGCGATGAGACGATCGAGAAATACAGGCCGTATTTTGAACAGCGTTGTCGGGACAGCGACAACCCGAGGCAGGAATGGGAGCGCGGGATGGCTCGTGTTGATCTTCTGAGGTCGAAGCGCAAGTTTAAGGATCTCAGGCAGTATCATCAGTTTTTAACGGTGTGGAAGTTGAATGTCGAGTCCCTGATAGGGTCTTGATGAATAAATAGAAGCTTATCATCCGGTATGCACTGACTGTACTTACTGTAAAATGTAAGTCCTCGAGGAGTTCCTTGGGAAATGCATTGACGTAAATAGTCTTCCGTGCATATATACTAATGGTTTACGTCAAAGCCGGACTCGCCGAACGAAAAGTTGCGCCACCTGAAAGAGTACCGGCGACGTCACTGCAAAATGGCAGTCAGCCGTTCGGAAAAAGTGATTCGACCCAGGCTCGAACTGAGGACCTTCTGTGTGTTAGACAGATGCGATAACCAACTACGCCATCGAACCGATGGGGAGTATAGAGCTCAGATAAAATAAAGAAAGATAACAAATGGAACACCGATATCTTGGTCCGCACTCGGTCATTGGCCAAGATAGCCGCGTTTGGCCCTGTGCCTTGTTTCTCTTTACAACGTCAACCACTATGGTGGAAGTATCAGAACCTATCCGAAGTGACGAATTCTGGTTTTCCGATGGATCTATCGTCATCTTGGTGGAGAATACCGCCTTCCGTGTTCACAAATCGATCCTCAGCAAGCATTCCGACGTGTTTGCTGACCTGTTCACTGTCCCTCAGCCTGTAGCCTCGACACTTGGGAATGACTCTGCAGACTCGATCGAGGGCGTTCCGGTGGTTCATTTATCTGACAATGTGGCAGACTTTACTGAAGTCATACGGGCTTTGTACGAACCCTTGTAGGTTATTCGTTATTCATTCCTCCGGATGATATAAAGCCGATTTTGTAGCCATTTCGACAAGCTAAAACCAGACGCAGACCTCGTCTCTCTCATCCATTTTGTTTCAGGCATCCTCCGCGTCAGCACCAAGTACAACATCGTTGCTCTGCGCGAAAAATGCATCGCAGTCCTGCGCACAAAATTCCCATCGACACTCGCAGACTGTGACATGCTCATCCAATCGAGGTACAAGTACGCCGCATCGACGATCGTGCGTGCCATCCCGCTCGCACGCGAGTCGAACGTCCCCGAGATCCTGCCCTGGGCATTCTACATCTCCACGAACATCGCACACGAGGCGCTCCTCGAGGACACCGTGCTCTCGTGGCACGATAAGGCACTCTGCCTCGCAGGGAAGCACCATCTCTGGGAGATGCAGAAAACCGTCACCCACCGGTTCCATTTCGACAACGTCGGTGGTAAGCCCCCGACGTGCCAGAACCCAAATTGCCTGCCCCGCCTCCCGCAGATGATGTCTTGGCGCCGCACGGAAGAGCTCCGTGTTAGCCCACACCCGCTGGAGCAGTTCACTGACTGGGATTCGCTCAAGGTATGCCCGAGGTGCGTGGAGTATGCGCAGATGCTGCATGAGAAGGGCCGCGAGAAGGTATGGAAGGGGCTCCCTGCGATGTTTCAGCTTGGAAGTTGGGAAGACATTTTCCGGGAGCAGAATCGATGATGACGAGCGGATGCCTCCATTCGTGGACATCCCCTCAGGGTAAGGGTTTCCTACGTTGCAAGAGTATGGTCCCATTGCGAACAGAGCTGAATGATTGTGATGTGAGCCGGGCTTCAGAGTCAGACGTTGAAGCGCGTCTCTCAAGAAATTCAGTTGTCGGCAGTGGCATCTACCAGAGTAGGGGGAATTTCAATACGGTTGATCAATTCCCCGGTTTCCCGTAAAACTGAAATCCCGCTGCTGCAGCGTGAGACAGATGTGATAGCCAACTACGCCATCAAACGGACAGTGTGAGCATGGCGGGATGCGGATATGTCGGTCGCTGTCCGGGTCCCGCGTCGCCTCGCCAAAATTTCATGGAGTTCGGACAGGATGGAGGCCTCGCTGGAACACGGCAAAAGATGATTCGACCCAGGCTCGAACTGAGGACCTTCTGTGAACATTAGGGTGCTTCAATTGGTTGATCAATGGAACCCCCTACAACGATGTTAGACAGATGCGATAACCAACTACGCCATCGAACCGATGCGTTGCGGGAAATGTTGATCATACAGGAATGATGCAGCCCAGGAGTTGGCAGCGAATAGAGGAGGCCGGTTCTAGCAAGTGCCAGCAACAGCCAAACAAGTGGCAACAGGGCGTGATCACGGCGACAATTGCGTCTTGTGGACTCACCACTCATTGTCGACAAACTCTCTTGTCGACATGCCTCCAGGAGAGCCCGGGAATGCCAGCACCGTCCCCGAGAACGACGGACTTGACGTCTACATTGCGATCGACGACGATGCTCAGCCCAGCACCGCCACACCTAGCACCACACCGAGACCTAACCGCCGTCCCCGTGTAGACGACGACGACGACGCTGAGCGTGACCTGCGCCACCCGTCCCAGCGTATCGAGAATCCCGCCACAGCCCAGCAGCAGTCTCCACTGCCGCCACAGCTTCTCCCACCAGTACACGACCTCTTTGGTAACCAGGCTCTGAATAACCGCAACAACGCCGGCCCACAGCCTTCTCTGGGCCCAGTAATAAGTGGCTTTGCGATTACGATCGACAGGAATGGTGTACCGACTATGCACCCGCTCCCGGGTGGTGCCGCGTTTCCCGGAGGTACAGGCGCGCCACACGTCCCTCCGATTCCAACCGCCAACGCTGCCAATGCTCCTCCCAATCCCGATCCTACTCAGCCGGCCGCCGGACCCGGACCCGGATTACCACCGCCGCTTTTCCGTGACTTTCTCGCGATGTTCGCAGGCGCAGGCGCCCCCAACGCCAACGCCACTGCAGCACCACCTCAAGCCAATCCCGATCCTACTAACGCTGCACCACCCCACAACGCAGCTGGAGGAGAGCAAGGTGAGTTAGCGTGATTTGACTCCGCACCCTCGCGGATTCGGGTGCTGCAGCTAATGATGTTTCTTCTTCTTTTCTTCTTTTCTTTCTCTCTTTCTTTCTTTCTTTACTTCCCTCTTTCCTTCTCCCTGTTTTTTTATGTTTTCTTTTCTTTTTCGGTCGTTTGTTTGGTTTTTTTCTCCCACTCGATTTTATAGACCATACCAACGCCACCAACAACAACAATCCCGCGCAGCCTCAACCTCAACATCCCCACCCACAACAATCTCAGCCTCATACTCATCCAGGCGCAGCCGCCTTGGGATCTCCACCACCACCACCCTTCGGCGCACCTCTACCACCCCCCGGAGCCCTCCCCCCGTCCCTCCCGCCCGTCGCAGTAGGATTCGACATCAGACCCGCAGAGAGAGGCAGAGTAGGCCCTTTCTTGACTTTTGGCATTGATGTGATTATTGGCGGGATGCCGGTGTTTGGGATGGGTGGGCCGGGGGCAGGTGGGCCGGGGAGTGAGGGTGGTGGTACAGGGGCGGGTGGAGCAGGGGGAGGGGGAGGAGGGGCGGGCGGGAATTAGTTTGCCCGAGGTACTTGCAAGGCCGCACACGAGGATATTTAATGAATCATGATAATACATACATAGATACGTACAGTTTTTTTGCATACTACATGGTTGCTTTTACATACATATGTTATCTTGCTTTTTCTTGCATAGCTTTGAATTCATTGGTATCGATTTAGCCGACCTGGACGTTTGGGTGCGCGCGCGCTGATGATGTTCGCGTTTTTGAATAATTTTACTCGTAAGTAAAAAGAGAAAAAACGCACCCCCGCCGTCCTGCTTTCTTCGCCTCGCTTTCCATTCTAATGTTCTGCTACTGGGAACTTCATGGGTTTACAGCGTTGAGCGTCTTGGTACCAGAGATCTAATCTAATCTACAGCTACAAAAATGACATCATCATATTCATTCATTGCTTACTCCCAAACCATGAAGACCTTTCATCTGTTTATCGGCGACAGAGGTGATGTCGAAGCGACTGACGTGACAAACTGGCCCAAGTACATACAGCCTGATTGTCCAGATAGTCACTCAGCTCCGTGGTCGCTTGCTGCATCAGTAGATAAGCCAATACCATTACATGCTGGAGAACGAAACTACATATTAGTAATACACAGACGTACAACACGAATTGTTCACGTTCAAACCATGACTGGATCATGAGCCAGTGCATGTCGCGGTCGGGAGAGGGGCCTCGACCGCATTCCAAGCACTACAACGGCGCTCTCTACATCAGAGACCTGAAGTCCAAAGCTCGAAATAACCAAAAACTCACTCGGGATATTCGCATCCTCGGATAGGACTATCACATCACCAATTTAATCAGCGACGTGAACTCGAATGAGGGAAATGGCAGTGGGTAACTCACACATAGGCTAAAGCGTCGTCTGCATCATTCTTCCAGCCTTTTCCGACGTCCACACTCGGCGCCGCAGTAAAGGTCGGCGGGGATAGTCTCTTAACCGTTCCAGTCGGAGTATACCTTGGCAACAAGGCTACCTGGTCTCCAAAGAATGAAGGCAATATCTCTGCGGGCGGAAACGCGTGCAGGGCAGTTTGAGCAGGATCGATAATGCCGGGCCCGGCCTATTCAAGACAGAACAGGTGAGCAGTGGATAAAACTGTGACGGCACAGAAAAGAAGTACCCCAGTAGCAGACGGGGGAAATATCCCATCGAAAGGTTGAGACACTTGTAGAACCGCGGCGCAGCGGCCATTCGCTTCCCTAGGATCTGTAATACAGGCACCGTTAACAGTAAGTCATCCGAACGCGAAACGAAGCCCAACCTTTCGGAATCCATCCTTTTTCCAAGCCCAATTGATAATTCCATAGCGGGCAGGAGGACGTCCCAAGCACGGTCGAGTTGCCGATCTTCCATGTCCAGAAAAAGTAGTTCTGGAGCGCGTCCATCGTTGCCAATGTGCCTTGTTTCAGTGTGTCGATTAGTGCTGCGTCGTATGACTGGGGTCGTAAGTGCCATAAGTGCCGTCAGCGTTACAACAGTGGCACAAAGAGACTCACGCCCCAATCATCCCAGGCGTGACATTCGGGCCCTGAGGGGTTTCCTATCCCGTTCAACCTGGAAAAAACGGACACGTATTTTCAATCTCATTTGTTCAGCGAGGAATCTGTTAATGAAATGCACGCACCACAGGCCACAGTCATTGATCGCAGCGGAGAACTCTCCACCTAGCGTCACACCAAACGCCCTCTGAGACTGGTTTGTCGCGAGGGCCCATTGACTGTAGGAGAATGTAAAAGGATTGCATGAGCGACAGCCATTAGATGTCAATCACGACACAGAACCCGCACCAAGGTTTGATGGCCATAGCTTCGGGGCTATATGTTTGAATGTGAGGGAAAGCCCATACGCATGCATGGAATCCCAAAACGGGTTTACGTACGGATCCGTGTCATGATTGAATGCCAAATACTATGGAAGAAAAGCCGAAGACGCAATTAGCAAGCCACGATCTCCAAAACTGGTACAGTTACAGTGGTACACACCGGATGTTGATCCAGGACCAATCGATCAGCGCCAGTGAGGAAACTGAACGAAATGACCCAGTCAGTCTACACGCGGATGGATTTCGTGATCATACAACTAACCCCTCCCAGATGCCAGGCTACAGACGAATTCTGAGTGAGAATGCCGCTTTCACGACTGGCGCACGTACCCCTTGGAATCCATCGTGAATAGCGATGTAGGGTCCGGCCCCAGCACCCACGCCTCTACAAAGTGAGGTGAACAAAATGATAGTCACCGTGCCACAGAGCACTCACGTAGCAGTTCTGATGGCATCGTATGCAGCGTAGTAAAAACTTTGCGCGGGGCCGGGGCCGATGGTCCCCCACAAGATTTCATTGACGATTCCCACACTGTCAAGGGTGTGAGCGGGCGAGAATTGGGTTTTGACTCGGGAAGAGAACGCACACAGGGACCACATCTCGATACTGATATTGACTGACGAACTGCGTGATTATCCTGAGGTACGTGAGAGTGCGCTGTGCGTTCGCGATGCCCATAGCCCCATGCATGCTGAATAGCGAGGGATCATAACCATAAGTGCCATGAGTTATCAAAAGACCGACATACAAGTTCACGGTGCCAACTGGCATAGATCAAAATCAGTAAAGGGCACCTTGAAATTCATGGCTGAAGGAACGGCGAGCACCTTTTCCAGAGTGATTCTTTGCGGATGATCAGATAGTAGTTTTGAGCGCAGAGGTGGAACTCACCCATCCGTTCTGGCTTCCTGGAAGCGAATGCAAATCAAGGTAGATGCGTAGACCATACTTGCGTGCCCACTGGACGCTGATCAGAACAAGGGGTTAGCTCCGGCGTACCAGAAGAGAACAAAGAGTTCAAGACGCACGCTTTGAGGAAGTACTTCCATGAAGTACCGGCCAGAAAGGGTTCATTGTTGATGGTTTCGATGGCCCAATATCCGATAGGGATGCGGACCCAGTTCAGACCAGCAGCTGGAAGATCAAGGTGTGAGTTCTCAGCAAGGCAGGAAGATGAGCACGACGTACCGGCTATGTCAGCAAAGTCCTTTTCTGTCTAAGATTCGGTCATAAGTCCGTGTGCACGGTGAAGAACACGTCTGGGCGTACTTACGATAAACGTGGAATAATGCTCCTCCATGTCTTTGGCTAGGTTATCGCCCATGGCTACAGACAGGGACCATTCATCGGTCACCTCAACTGCAGTCGAATTGATGTACTTTTCGTACAGTGCAGGACAGATGAAAGGTTCCGTCACTAAGAACCGAAACGCATCAGTCATCGGGGCGTTGGCGATGTGAACGGGTGTGGTTTACCTAGCCAGCCGCTACATACCGTGCCGACATAAGCAACCTATAGACTGTAGGAGAAATGTACTTACCCCAGATTGACGCCTCGGGCGAGGTCCGTACCCCAAACCCACTCTTCCGTCCCGCCAACTCGTTTGCTCCAGCTCTGCGCCTTCCCGCCTGGCCCGAAAGGGTGCTTGGGATCATACGCCCAGTCGCCGTCAAAGTCATTCCTGTACGTGAACACCGTGCCATCTTCCATGGTGATTTTGCTGCCCGTCTTTCCGTGTGTGGCTACATTGGTCGAAGGGTGATTTGG